CCGTTTGAGCCCAGTGTTGCAGCCACTGTGTCAGTCCATCTTGTCCAGCACCTTCCTCCTGTTCGCTGCCCCTCAACTTCATCAAGCATGGTGTCCTTCTCCAGAGACTGGTCTCCCCTAACAACATGTCCGAAGTCGGAGAGACGAAAACCTCCCCATCCTTTCCTCTATGGCAGTGGTTCTCAACTTTCCTAATGCCGCCACCCTTTAACACAGTTCCTCGTGTGGTGGTGACCCACCGCCCCCAAACCATAAAGTTATTTTCATTGCTGCTTCATAACTGTCATTTTGTTATTGTTATGAATCGGGCAACCCCTGTGAAAGGGTCGTTCAACCCCCCAAAGGGGTCGCGACCCACAGGTTGAGAACCGCTGCTCTAAGGAATATTCTGGTTGTACTACCAAAATAGACCTGTTTTTTGGCAGTTCATGGTACTTTTTTTTGCTGAAAATGAAATTTTTTAAATTTATTTTTTAATAGTTTTATTAGGGACTCATACAACTCTTCACAATCCATACATACATCAATTGTGTAAAGCATATTTGTACATTCATTGCCCTTGTCATTCTCAAAACATTTGCTCTCCACTTATGCCCCTGGCATCAGGTCCTCTTTTTTTCAATATTCTTGACCAGCACCATGATTCAAATGTTTCGATTCTTATTTGGTCTTCCTTATTCAGTGTTCAGCTTTCCCATGCATCTGAGGGGACTGAAAATGCCATGGCTTGGCCAGGCAAACCTTAGACCTCAAAGTAACTTCCTGCTTTCCAACACTCCAAAGAGGTCTTGGGCAGCAGATTTACCCACGGCAACATGTGGCTTGGCTGTTGAGCCCTTCATGGTGTTGATCGGGTTTATGGGTAAGCATTGAGTCCCATTCAGGAGACAGGGAGGGGGAACAGGCTCTGAGAGTCATGTTTTGTATGTTGGCCCCATCGGAACTGTATGCCCCCAGAGTGAGTCACAGCACGATCTGAATACAGCTTTGATCCTCAGTACAAGGATTCTGCTCTTGGGCAAAGATGTCCAGAACTCAATTTCTGGAGGCATAATGGAGAAATTGCTCTCTGTCCTAAGAAGGGTGTTTTGTAATCCGTGGTGAAGAACTTTATGAAGCATAAAAGGCTACGTTTATGCCTGTGGTTTCAAGTGTTAAGTACGTTCTTTACTAATGAAGCTAAACTATTATTTGGTTTCAAGAAGACTTCAGGGGAGACTTTTGGTTTAAAATTTCAAAATTATCACAGAGCAATCTTGGGGGAGATTCAGAATGAGCTATATGGTACCAAACTAACAATGGCAACTTCAAAACTGAGATAGGAACCTTAGCAGGCAGTGAGTTTTACATCCATAGAGGCGAAACTACTCAGAAAGAGACATGGTTGCACACCTCAAAGAAGGTAGCTGTGTATGGTACTGTATCCCCTAAAGAAAGATGTACTGTAAATTCTACCCCTGGGCCTTGGGCTACAATCCTATTTTGAGGAGTGGGTGGTCTTTGTGATGCACGTTAGACAGACTTAGTGTGAGAAAAACAAAAACCACTCACTGCCATAGAGGGGATGCCAACTCCTTGCGACCCTCCAGGACAGGGTTGAACTGCCCGTGTAGGTTTCGGAGACTGTCTCTTGATGGGAGTAGAAAGCCCCATCTTTCTCCCACAGAGCAGCTGGTGGTTTTAAACTGCCCATCTTGTGGTTAGCAGCCCACCGCTTACCCCTTTGCACCACCAGGGCTCCTTCAGTTTGAGGTAACTCTCAACTCAGTGCACGGCCATCAAGTTGGAGCCGACTCCAACAATGCTGTAGGACTGGGTAGAACTGCCCCTGTGGGTTTGCTGAGACTGTAGCTCTTTATGGAAGTAGAAAACCTTGTTTTGCTCCCACAGAGATATAAAAAAAGAACAAGCAAGCAAGCAAAAGAAGAAGGGCTATGTCTCCTTGTGGCATTTCTGTTACAAGAGCATGGAGTTATAACTGCAACCATGATCACTAAGCCCACTGTAATCCGTGTTACGGAGTTGCTTCTGTAGAAATGAATTGATAGCTGTATGTGCTGCTGTGTCTGTTATCAACAACAACAGACATACAAACTTGGGGGGGGGCGCGTTTGCATGCTAAAATTAGGCACATCCACTTTGCACTAGGTGCCAGTACAGAAAACATGGATTTGGGGGGAAGCCGAAGCCTTGACTCAACTTAGTTACCACATCCGGAGTCAGGGTCTAAAGCTCTATTTACTCCAACACATCCGTGAGCACTCACTGTTATTATTTCTATTCTCTATTTTTAAATGTGTCCTGTATTACTGTATCATTGTTGGATACAGTACTGCAATTTCCTGAATATTAACTTATTCCAATACAATTCTCCAAGGGTTCACACATTTTCTGGCTCTGATTCCAGAATGAGCCTTGTGGCTAGATCAAGTTTAACTCTCTCTTTCCAAAAGTCAAGTGTAACTCTCTCTTCCAAGCACCTTCACCTGACTCTGAGATGGTGTCTTCCATGTACCGCCAAGTGATGGAGGAGGTTCTAGGAGGGCAAGCCATCATAGACCCAGCTGTTCTGGGCTGGTGTAAGCCATAGCACAACTAGAATGGCACTGTGCACCACATGATTAGCCAGGCTGCGCTGCAAATCCTTGCAGGGGGACCTAGGGTGGTTGTTATGTCCTGTATCCATTCCTAGTCCCTCTTCAATAAATCAGGCTTCCAGCTGATAGTGAAAGTATAAAGCATTTATGATCAAGGTCATAGTAGTGGATGAGCATCACAGGGAGGCTCTGGTCAATACAAACTGTTCAGCACTCCACTACTAACCAAAAGGTCATGGTTGGAACCCACCCAGAAATGTCTCAGACCAAAAGCCTGGAGATATCCTTCTGAAAGGTTACACACAGCCTTGAAAATCACATGAAGCACATATCTGTTCTGGCACCCGTTATGGGTCAGAATTGATTCTATGACAACTCTTGGGGTTTGGGCTTTGGGATTTGGGTATGGGGGGGTGGGTTAGTGGATGTATTTAGTAAATGCACCCATTGACTCAATGACAGCGAGTTGGATTATTTTGGTTAGTCAATGCTCAGGGGCAATAGTGGCACATTGGGTTAAGCACTGTGCCACTCACTGAAATGTCAGCAGCTCAAAGCTTCCAACTGCCCCACAAGCAAAAGATGAGGCCGTCTGCTTCTATAGGGACTGACAGCCTCAGAAAGTGTAGGGTACATTCACTCTGTCCTCTAGGGTCACTATGCATCAGAATCCACTCAACAGCCAATGGGTTGAGTCTTCGTGTTTATTTAGCCAATGTTCATGGGTCATCTCTGCATCCTTGGGAGGCTAGTTTTGGTGTTGTTCCTTTACAATATATGAAAATTCTGGCACCTTCACCTGTTCCCCCTGATTTTTCTTCCATGCATAAAGTATGTTTTATTTTGTAGTGTACCACAACTGCTTTGCATGCTGCTACATAATAATCATCATAATTATTGCTTTAATAGCCATGTAATCATTCATCTTGTTAATGTACCATAATTTACTTAACCTAAAATTTCAACAATAGGAGACTGGTTGCTTCCAAATTTTTCACTATTATAAATAGCCTGTAGGATGCACATTTGTACATATAACTTCATTTCTTTTTTCTTTAGATTATTCACTAAAATATTATAATCCAGGAATGAAGTAGTCAGATCATGGAATAGGGATTTTTAGTAGTTCTTAAATACATGAACCTTATTTTTGCAGTTAACAATGGCATTACAGTCTTATCAGTGGTCTGGATGATTGGTTTTTATTTGATCTGCTTAAAGGATACCTCCCTTCTTTTTGGATTACCTCAAAAATCTCAAGCTTTGATTAGATATTTCCTTATAGAAAATGCTGCATTCTTTTGTGCTTTAAACGAACAGTTTTAAAACACAAGTAGATTTGGGTTATGTGTGTGTGTATATAGATGTATGTATGTGGGTGGGGTTATATGGGGGGTGCATGCTCGGGCTTTCAAGCAAACTCCCGTCAAGAACTTTTGCTGTCAAAAAAAAATGGAGGAGGGAGGAGCTGATACCAAGGGCTCAATAGAATGTAAATATCTAGAAAAGAATGTTGGCAACATATGTACAAACATACCTAATGCAATCAATGTATGGACTGGAATAAGAGTTGTAAGAGCCCCCAATAAAATTATCTTCTAATTAAAAAAAGAACTTTCACCATCCTTTTCTCCCATTGCCCACATGTAAAGCTAACATTGTTTCCCAGAACAAAGTATTAGTTTGCATTCATTTACCAATTAATTGTTGCAATCCGTGTACGAGCATAAGGGCCTCAAGGAGGACCCACGTGCAACATCAGGAGAACTAGAAAAGCAGGTAATTAGAAAAATCAGGGAGCTCTTTCCCAGAGCATCGTGCCCACAATCAGAAAGTGGGGCATGATCCAAGGAGTTCAATCCCAGGTAAGGTTAGATTGGCGTTATGTGGTTCCAAAGCAACTCAGCCACCTGACGTTTCAACTAACAAACTTGCACACTCCGGCCATATCCTCTCCAATCTTTCAGCCCTGGATTTTTATCCCAATAAGATGTACTGATAATGGAATCCCTGCAAAAAAACAAAACAACAACAACAACAACAAAAAAAACAAGCCTTCATGCCATTCCCAACCTGATTGAGTTCCAGATCAAGAAATGAAGGACTGCGAGGATTCTCCAACACTAGCTCTACGCTGGGGCTGGATCAAGGGTAGCTCTCTCTTCCAAGCACCTTCCCCTGACTCTGAGACGGTGTCTTCCCTGCACAGCCAAGTGAGGGAGCAGCTGTTCTGGGCTTGTGAGATGGTTCTGCGCTGGGTCAAGCCTTCACCCAATTAGAGTTTTCACTTTGACCTAGCTAAAGATGTGGGGTTTATTTGACTAGGTTACTTGTTATATATCCATCTGGAAACATAAAGGAAATAATTGACCAGATTTCCTCTATTTTTTTTTCTCCTTGCAGCCTCAGCCGAGGGGTCTCCGTAAACACGGCGAGCCTTCTAAGCTGCTGTCCTGCCAGTTGATATGGAAATGTCTCGTTCCTCACTGAACGATAAACTCTTGACACTGCCCAAAGTGATCCTTGGAGCACATTGACACATTAACCGGACTAACTGAAAAAAGACTCCCATTCGGTCAAAAGGATGGACTTTTGGTAAAAATAGTAGTTTGCTGAGGCTTTTTAAATGAGGTGCGTACGATCCAGGGCCAACCTGCTCCAAGGAGTCGTCGGCAGACCATTAGCTGGAAGATTGCTTCCAGTTCTCATCACTGTGCATCACTCCAGTTCCCTCCGGGGCTCCGTCTGTGCCCTTCAGTACAAGTCCTGTCTGAGCATGGCCACTCCTGGATTATTTTATTATGTGTGCAGATGGCATGATGTTTTAGAAAAAATAAGTACCGCAGTTCTGCGATCTCAGTGGAAGTGTTCACAATATTATGCCCTGGTAGGAATGTAAACATGTCTCGATTGTGTAAGTTATGATGTCTAGAGATACTCTGTCCAACTCCTTAAGCACTTTATGTGAGAACACTCCATGGATGAATTAGCACGTTCCGTACATGTGAGAAAACAAGCCTTTTCTTTCTTTCTTCTTTTAAATCTTGTCCGACTTCTGGCTCAGACTGTCCAAAACAAACCCCATGACTAGCCACAGCCCTGTCGTCTGTGCTAGGTTATGTAGATACGGCCACAATACTGTTAGACTTCACCTCTTGATACTTTACTGAAGAACTGGATTCCTTGTATCACCAAGGGGCCGTAGAAGTGGGTCTGGTGGTTTCCATCCCTTAGCCCTTGGTTCCTGGTACCTGTAAACCCCACCACAACCCCTGTGTCATAAAAATACTCAAACACATGGGGCTTCTCTTTGGCCAATGCACACATTCTCTCTTTCTACAACAGAGTTATTTCTGAGGGCCAAAGGGGTAGCCTTCTTTTGGCCGCTAGACAAAAGGCTGGAGGTCCAAGCCCACCCAGGGGTACCTCAGAAGAAAGGCCTGGCAACCCATTTCCAGAAAACTAGCACATTTTTCTACTCTGGTACCCAGGAAATGGGGGGCTGGGGGGTTGCCAGGAGTCAGAGTCAGCTTGACAGCACCTGGCTTCCTTCATTCCAAGACCATCGTAAGTAGGTAGGTGGTAAAGGCAACAAGATGAAGTTTCCCTGCAGGGTTTGACTCTGACGCTGTGGAGAGAATTTTAGGTCAAGTTTAGATCATGACCCCATGAAGGGAGAAAGCAGCAAGAGGCTCCACTGCACATCCAGAGGAGGAAAGGGATTCCATTTGACCGTGGTTTCTCTCCTCGGTCTAAGCCCAACCAGGCTCCTGTTCGACCCACAATGGATTACTTTTATAATAGTCTTTCAATAAAGCACAGTCTGGGAGCCGTGGTCAAGCCTGCTATTTCTTGTCTTAGAGCATTAGAGAAATGTCCGTATTCAGTGACCCCATAGAATGCTGTGACTAATTCTCCTGAAAGCACGAAGCTGGCTAAGATTCAGCAAAATTGTCTCTGTGTAACCACAGCCCCCACCTGCGACCCCCAGGCATCAGAGGCTTTTCAGCACAAGCTGGTGTGGGATCAGAGGGTGTCTCCAGACACAAACTCATCGTCTGCACTCCTCACAGCTTGCCTCCCCTCAGGGTCTCAGGAAACACGCCCCCCGGTGGAAACCACCCCTGTCTGAAAATGGGAAAGCTGACTGGAGAGGGGAAGTGATCCCAGTGTGATTCTGGTGAGTCACCGGCAGAGTGATTCATGACTCAATCGAAAGCCTGTCAGGCTGCAGCCCCAGGGAGGGGAGCTGCCAAGGGGGAACTCTGAGTAGAGTCTGCAACCATCGAGATCTGGCCCCTCACCAGGCCTGCGTTGGGGCCTGCTTCTGGCACTGAAGACGGCAGTTCATATTTGTCTACGAATCCAGAATTAGAGGCCAAACTCTGGCGCCCAATGGGCATAATATCCCAGCCCATCTCCTGAGGTTCCCTTCAAACCGAAGAACTCCCTCCTTCATTCATTCCTTTCATTATTCACTGAGCATTTGTTGAGCACCTGCTCCCTGCCAAACCTTGAGTAAGGTGACAGCTCTGTGGAAGACAGATGCTCCCTGCCTTAAGACACTGTATCTCCTTCTCCCAAATATGATCCCCCATCCCCCGCCTTGCCCACCACCGAACGCAGACCATTCACCAACAGCAAGAGCAATGTGGGAAATGCATATGGCGGCAGGCAGGCCCATGACACTCAGGGGGCGGGACGCTGAGGAAAGAGGTAGTGGACATCACCAGGCCACCTATTTGGATGCTTCCTCTACTCAGACAGCCAACCCTTCCAGGGACAGGAGTTAGCTGGTTAAGCTTCCCAAGGCAGCTTTAACTGACTGTCGTTGATTTACCTGTATGCTTGTCCTTCGCATTGGTGTCCCCGTCACTAAGCTGGACTCTGCAAAGCTTCAAGTGTACAACTCACCTTGGTGACAGAGAATTGAGCCTACTTAAAGAATCCTAAGGAACAACTGCCAGGTGCTGAGGCGGTGTGGCTGGGAGCTAGTTGGTCTGGCTACGGATGTTCTGCGACTACTGCAAACCCCCTTGGAGAAAGGGGGCCGGCATGATGGTGCAGAGGTTCATGACAGAATGGAGGTGTCCTCTTGCCCTGAGCTATTAGAAAAGCTGAGTTTCCAAGCTTTTTTATTTTGACACAACAGAATGCTGGGAGAGAATCCAAAGATGAGGGGTGACGATGGGAATGGAAGAAGGCAAAAGAAAGCAAAGAGACCCATTACAGAGCTCCTCTCAAAATGCCTTAATGCCTGTCACCTACCACCTGTTTGCATATGAACTTCTAGTTTCCCAACTGTAGACGTCTGACTGACGTCCTGCTGGGGGATCCCCTTGGAAATATGGTGGGGTAACATCTGTGTGGCTGCCAGGTCAACCAGCAAAGTGGAAAATGCTTTCTTTGCCAGATTTTGGGTGACCTGGGACCCTCCGCATCTCTCCCAGCTACTTTCCACTGTGCTGTACCTTCTTCTCAAGGTGTGTGTTTGACATTTCATGTCCCAGAAATGCTTGTGGGGCATCCTGCCTAGAGGAAAGGTGGGGGAGGGGATGGGAAGGGTGTAAATATTTTGACGTCTAAGGGCCATCAGCTGAGGATGCTTAGCTTTTACTTCAACCTATGCTACCCCTTCTTATTAAAGGCTGGCACCCACCCTGGTGCAGAAAGGCACCCTTGGGAGTGCACAGGAATGAATAATGACCTGGCTCTCCAGGGTGCCAAGGGGATTCACTTGCTCCCGCTCCAGAACTGAATGTAAATGTACACAGCACGAATGGTTCTGTTAGAAAAACCCAAGCAAATCACTTCAGTCATTTAAGACAGACCTAAGGGGTTAGTGGCCCTGTCCGCTTTCTTGGTGGGTCATGACAGGCCTGCAAATCCCTGCTCGGGCCCCGGGAGCTCTTTCTACCATGCAGGCTGACTTCTACCTCCAGAATACAGGTATCAGGAATACGGGTTCCTCTCTAGAGCCAGCTGCCGCTGAGTCCCCAGACAAAGACTCTCACGGTCCTCAGTTCTGCAGGGAGTGTACCATCTTCAGCATCCTCGAGTGTTGAGCAGGGATCTCAACCTGGTGGGAGAGCACAGACGCAAAGGATTCAAAAACTCCAGATAGATTTTTCCCTCTTGTTCCTTGCAAATGCTTACTTTGTCTGCAAATGTCGCATAATTGATGTTGGATAGGAACAAGAAAAGCCTCACAGAAGAAAAGTTCTCAGGACCCCCTCAGCACTGACTGTTTCCTGGTCCCCGAGCCGCCTGTTCACAGTGCATTAGCAGCCTCGTTCAGTGGGGTTTGCCTCTCCATTCTTCAGGCCAATTTGGTTACTTGACAACTAGACGGAAAGCTGCCGCTGCCGCTTTTTATTTTTTGTTTTGTTTTTTTCAAAATCTAATCTTTGGAAATGACATACATTACTTTATTCCTTAAAGGCTGTTTTTATTCACCTCTCCCACTCTCGTAGGCCTCCACCCCACTTCTCTGCTTTGTTTAGTGTGTTTCTTTTTTCTTTTAATCTCTCTCTTTCCCTTGTACACAGACTGCTGTGCATAGATTTCCAGCACTCTGTAAAGAATTCAAACAAAAATGTGCTTCTAGCCACCACCTAAGGAACCCTGGTGATGCCGTGGTTAAGCCACTGCCCACCCCACCTCACCCCCACCACCACTTGGAGGGACTAAGTGATGACAGTCTGCTTCCATAGAGGTAACAGCGTTGGAATCCCACAGGGGCAGGTCTACTCTGTCCTAGAGGCTTCGTAGGAGTTGGAATGGGCCGGACAATTGGGTTCGGTTCCATTTGGTTTTGTTTGGATAGGTTAGGTCATCACCATTTTTGTTTTCTCCAGTGCCGACTAGTACCCAAATAAAGCTCACTGCCCTTGAGCCCACTCTGACTCAAAGCAACCCTATAGGGCAAAAGAGAACTGCCCCTGTGGCTTTGGAGGCTATAAATCTTTCTCCCAGGGAGCAATTGGTGGATTTGAACTGCTCACCCTGTGGTTGGCAACTCAACGAGTAATCCTCAACTCCATCGGGGTTCCTTTTTAAGCCTGGCCTTGCTGGAAGCTTGTTCTTTCCCACCCACCCCCACCCCCAAACGTGATGGCTGTAGATTATCCTCTTCTCTGGAAGCTGTTGGGCTGTGAAACCTGGAAAGAGGCCGGAGGAGAGGTGCAGTTACTCAGGGCACAGCTGGGGACTCGACTTCCAAGACAGGCAGGTCCTGCCCCTCTGTCTTCTTGGCTCTGGGTCTAGCCTGTGGCCCGAGAACGAACCCTCTGGATTCTGCTCCTCCAAGGCGCAGGGCTGTCCACACCACTGCTCTAAGGTGAAAGAGAGCCACGTTTGCATCATTTTGCTCTGGTAACTGACTGTCGTAGGAAAACAAGGAGCATTCTTTGAAAAGGTAACCACCTGTAGGAAGCTGGCCAATGCCAGACAAAACAGGAGCTGCCACCAAGAGTCAGGTTAAAGGAAGTAGCCCGATGGATGGATGTGGCCATCACTTTGGTCCTGCAGGGAAATTTCCGGGCTATAGGCTAAACCCTGTTTCTAACATTGAAATGTCTTGGGGTCTTGGGGTGAATTCACCTGGGGAAATATAAGGGGCGCAGATTTTAAACCTCCTGTCCATCAGCCTGTCGCAAGTGTTCTTCCTTCTGAGCCCCACTCACCTTGTTATCCTCAAACGCAAACTCACCGCTGTTGAGTTAAAAGGCACTAACAACATCCACTTCGCGCAAGTTAAAAGTAACCCTATGTCTTGAGTTGAATTGTCAGCTGAAAGGCATAATTGGAGTGAGTGACACAAACGCTTCAGCGTCTGGCTACTGTTCATAAGGCTGGCAGTTGAAACTCCCCCAGAGGCACCGGAAATGAAGGGCTAATGACTCACTTCCCCCAGACAGCCAAGGAAAACCTCATGGAGCTCAGTCCAACTCTGAGGGGCACCACAAGCCAAATCCACTTGAGGGCACCTAGATTACTGGTAGGAGTCCTGGTGGTGCAGTGGTCGAGGTGGACTGCTAACCACAAGTTCGGCAGTTCGAAACCACCAGCTGTTCCACCAGAGAAAGACGGGACTTTCCTACTTCCGTACAGAGTCACAGTCTCAGAAACTCACAGGAGCAGTTCTACCCTGCCCTATCACTCTGAGTCAGCACCCACTCCATGGCATGAGTTTGGTCTTTTGGTTTGGATTCCGGGTTGGGTTGACATAGTGTTCAGTGTTGTAGGGATGTAAGCGTGCTTCTGATGATACTCTTTTCAGAAACCAGTGGTGTAAGGGCTTTCTTGGTGGAGTTGTTGGGCTTCTGGAAAGATCCTGTTGTTTTTCAAACGCCAACATTTCGAGAAGCATAGAATGGCCCTCCACCCAAGGCCTCCGTAGTCTAATGGGCAGAGTTGAGACCGCAGCCCTGCTGGGTTCTGATGAGACTCTGCCCAATTAGCGGCAACCCTGTATACGAATACCTCTAACAGTACACTGTAGAAGGCTCTGCTAGCCGTCTTCCATGTATTTTGCAGTCTTTAAAAGTTCAGCCATTTGGCTCCTGGGAAACACATGGGCTGCTAGCCTTGGGTTATGTCACCTTATCAGAGTCCTGGGCTGGGTTGATGGGTGAATGTAAGGGGTTTTTTTTTGTGCAAACAGATTTCATCAACCCTCCTCCCCCCAAATCTATAGAAATAGATCCAAATGTTTGACTTAAAAAGAATACATCGAAAACAGGAAGGTCTTATTAGATCAGTATCCACCCCCACCCCCAGGATAGGAAAACTGATTGGAGACACAGCCTTGAAGGAAAGTGTGCTTGT